ACAGATTAGCGCACATTTTTTGTTTGAAATAGCTGTTCTAGTACGTAAGTACATTTATACTTCAATGCGTCTAATTTTGATTTTTAATTCCTGACGTTTCGGTCTCTTTACAGCACTCTATCGTCGTCACTCCATCTACTGGGGGGTCGCCCTACATTACGCCTACCGGTACGAGGCTGCCACTCGAGAACCTTTCTACCCCATCGGTTATCGGTTCTTCGAGCTATATGGCCGGCCCATTGCCATTTCAGCTTACTAATCCGTTCGGCTATGTCGGTCACTCTGGTTCTACTGCGGATATCCTCATTTCTGAGTCTATCACGCATAGAAACTGAGCATAGCCCTCTCCATAGCTCGCTGAGCGACCTTGAGCGTCCTCATACGGCCAGCGGTGAAGGACCACGTATCTGATCCGTAAGTCATCATTGGTAACACGCACTGGTTGTACACTTTAGTTTTCAGAGATTGAGGTATACCTGACGTGAAGATGTGTCGAAATTTCCCGAACGCTGCCCAGCCGAGTTGAATCCGTCGATTGACCTCTCGGTCGAAGTTGGACTTACCTAGTTGGACTATTTGTCCCAGGTAAACGTACTCGTCAACAACTTCGAGCATAGTGCTCCCAACAACTACCGGCATAGGTGTGACATGGACATTAAACATGATCTTTGTTTTGTCCATGTTCATCTTAAGACCTATCCGTTGGGACACACCATTGAGGTCATTGAGAATAGTGCTAAGGTCCTCCAGCGATTCTGCCATAAGGACTATATCGTCGGCAAATCGAAGGTGAGTGATGTACTCGCCATTGATGTTAATACCGTATCCTTTCCAGTCCAGTAGCTTGAAAACGTCTTCCAACGCAGCGGTGAAGAGTTTCGGGGATATAACTGTCTTACACCTCTCTGCAGTTGGATACGCTTCGAACTCTGGTTCTGTACTCGGGTAGCCATCGTAACCCTACTGTACAAATACTTCAGCACTTCAATATACCGACAGTCAACTTGGCACCGCTGAAGGGACTGTAGCACCGCCCAAATTTCGACGGAATCAAAGGCTTTCTCATAGTTCATATATGCCAGGAAAAGTGGCAGATTGTACTCCTCGGTCTTCTGTACAATCTGCCGCAGGGTATGTATGTTGTCTATGGTACTGAAGCCTTTTCGGAAACCGGCTTGTTCGGGAGGCTGGAAGTCGTCGAGTCTGCGTGCGAGACGATTCGTAATGACTCTCGAAAACAGCACGTAGACGCGGTTCAGAAGGGAAATCGGACTGTAGTTCTTCAAGAGAGCGTTGTCGCCTTTCTTAAAGAACAAGACCACCGCACTTCTGCTCCACGCCTCCGTAGTAGTGCCACCATGGAGGACGGAATTAAAGAGCTTCTGAAGGACTTCAAGTACCGGTGTTCCACTTGCTTTCAGAAGCTCCGCTGTAATTCCATCCTCGCCTGGGGCCCTGCCGTTTTTAAGGTGCTGGAGAGCCATTCTAATCTCGCTCAGACTGACGTCCGGGATATCATCGGAATAGTGTCGGGTAAGACTTGCTCTTGGATCGTTACTCACACTTGCGTGTGGCTCCAACGATGATGTGTACAGCTGCCCATAGAACCTCTCAATCTCACTCAAAATCTCAGGTGTCTCGGAAACGATGCTGCCACACTCAGTCTTCAGCTTTGACAGTTGGCTCTTTCTGGCAGACAGATCTCTGGAAAAGACTTTGGAGCCCTAGTTCCGCTCGATCGCTTCTTTAATACGAGCAGTATTAAAGTTGCGTAAGTCTCGCCGCATGCATTTGGAGGTATGTCTGTTCAGTTGCCTGTATGCTGTCAAATCTGTTGACGATTGCAGCCTCATCTCCCGTCTAACAGCCATGAGATTAAGAGTGTGATCGGAGAGTTTTTGTTTTCTTCTGCGGCGGGTCTTGCAGAATTTACCGCATGAACAGTTTCCACGAGCTTGTCATTCATGTCGTCCACTGCATTGCAATCTTCTAGGCACGTAACTCAAACTGATAGGTTTCGGGATTCTGGATTAGAGCACGAGGGGGACGGAGCACTCTCTAACTTAACGTTTAGGTTCAGTGTGCCTCTAACCATTCGGTGATCGCTACTAGTTTTCACCCTTGGAATCACTGAAACATTACTGAACAGTTGGCGTCTGGTCAACATAATGAAGTCAATCTCATTTTTTGTCGAACCGACGGGGCTCGACCAGGTCCACTTTCTGTGGGGCCGCTTCTAGAAGAAAGAGTTCATCATAAAAAGTCCCCCTTTCTCCATGAAGTTGGCCAGCTGCTGGCCACTCGGGTTCCGTTGCCCTATCCCGAATTTCCCTATCTTCAGCACACCGTTCTTTTTTGTGCCCAGTTTTGCGTCGAAGTCTCCCATTAACACTGTATAGTGAGTTTTGGAGCAATGCATGGCTCTAGAAATATCCTCATACATTTCCTCCACCTCCTCATCGGGATGCTCCGACGTTGGCGTGTATACCTGTATGACCTTCAGCAAATACCGTTTGGTGATTCTGAGAAAAAGGTACGCAACCCCCGTCGATACACTCCCAATCTTTAAAACGTTGTTAACGAGAGACTTGTGGACGATAAATCCAACACCTCCTTGGGACAGACGGTTGCCCTTACGGTGATAGAACAAGTTGCCAGATTCAAGAATCACCGTGTCCTCCCCCTCTCTTTTCGGACCTTGGATAATCCTATAATGTTCCAGCGTAACTTTTCTATCTCTTCTTCCAACCCCAGGATCTTCTCGTCAGTCCTCAGGGTGCGTGCGTTAAATGTTGCCAGGTCGAGTCGTCGTAGGTGGCAACCGAACCTCCACCGGAGTTTCTTAGTACCCCCTGCCATAGTCGCCACCGTATCCAGGAATAGCGGGGCCGCCGGAGGCCGTTTCTTCGTAACTAACATAGGGAGTATATTGCCATAGTTACCACGCTTGGAGAGCGAGTTGGCAAACGCAGTTTTTTGTTGTTGTACAGTTGCTGTTATCAGGAAGATGCTGCTGCCTCATTGCTCCTGCCTGTTTCCCTCTGTCGCCTTTTACGATACCTACGGGAAGATATAGGGTAGTGGATATTCTTAACCGCCGCTACACGGCACCTTTAAAGTTACAGCCCAAACTACTTGACCTAGAATCTGAAATTAGGACAGTAGCTACCTTTTATGAAATTTTTAAGAATTCTACATAAGAATTCTTAAAATTCTTATATTTTAAAGAAAGTGTTTTTTTTTATTTCATTTAAAATTAGTGTTTATTAAATTTCATTTTTATTGGATATAATCAAATTCAATATGCAATATAATGTTATTAGTCGAAAATTTAGTTCTACTATTTACCGACAGGTGGCCCTGCTCATTATTTATCTATTGTATTATCTTCTTTATATTGAAAGGCGTCCTGAGTGACTGACTCATCATAAACGCACAACCCAAACAGCTTGATGCAGAAATCAGAAATTTGGACGTAAAACGAAATAGTGATAATTATGAACAATACATATTTTAGAAGTCTACAAAAACTGCTCCTATTTACCTCTTAGAAGGTAGGTAAAGCCGGATCCCGACATGTATCATTTGCCCGATTCGATCATATTCGATCACTGTACCGTATCTGCGTATTGTATCAAACCCCGAATCAAGTTGTGGACGCCTCCGATTTGCTCCGTATCCGTATCTTCACAATAGTCATGATCGCGTATCAAATTGCCCAGTTCAGTTTCTGCTCTCGATCAAACATGTCGTCGCAGTTGGTGGAAGTGTACGAGAATTTAGCAATTTCATGTGCCTGTTTTATTGTCATTCACATAATTCTAATCTCAAAACCAAAACAGAGACGGTTGTGGCAAATGGAATTATTTAGAAACAGAAACAGACTTGGAGGAAGAGCTTTGATGAGAGACCTAAGATTTCCACACATAAGAGGTAAATACAAAAACTTCACGCGTATGGCACCTAATGACTTCGAATATTTGATAAATTTGATTGGCCCCAAAATTAAGAAAACGGATACTACATACATAATAACATACATAAACACTCACGCCTCTCACCCAGAGGGGTAGGCAGAGACTACGGACTTCCATTTAGTACGATCTTGACATATCTCTTTCGCCTTCTTTACATCCATATATCTACGCATACATGCTCGTCGGTTAAGGGTACCTCTAACGTGGCCCATTTTCAAAATATCGCCAATTTGGTCGATAAACTTTTTTCCACGGCATCCCTTCCCGACTCTGCCGTTATCATCTGCCATATAAATTTGCTTTGTCACTCTTTCCTCATTCATTCTTTCTACATGACCAAACCACCGAAGCATTCCTTTCTTAATCCTGGTCACAACATCATCTTGCATACCACATTTATCTTTTATCACGCAATTTCTCACCCTGTCATTCAGATTCAACCCTAGCATACCCAATACTATATACAGGATACTAAATACAGGAATGCAATTTCTGTTGAAGAAAAATTAAGTATCACTTTGAGATTTTTAGCCAGCGGAGATTCCTATACAAGCCTACAATATTTATTCAGAGTTTCTAAACAATCGATAAGTGTTATAGTTCCGGGGACCTGTCAAGCTGTCGTGGAGGCATTAAAAGACAATATCAAGGTAGGATATTTTTATTATAGAAATAATAATTGATCCATGACATCAATTATTAGTAATAAACAATCCATGACAACAATTATTAGTAATAAACAATAAACAATAATTGTTTATTACTAATAATTGATGTCATGGATCAAATCACGAAAAGAATCTTCGGAATCATCCACTTGAGTCACTGGAGAATGTACTTGATTTTCAGTCATGTAGGGGGCTAAACTTTGTGCTCTCTTTGAATAAGAAGAATTTACAGACATTTGAGTAGGTGTAGTCTCAGCCATGGGATAAGTAGATGCCGGAGTGGAGTACCCGCGCTGATATTCATATTGTCTACAATCAGCGTTATATAGGATGTTGTTTATTTGATGTTCCACAGTCATGTAGGTTTGCTTGGAATAACACCTAAATTTGCCTGCCAAAAATTAGCGTATAGCTGATACTGGTCTAATCCAGTAGCGGGTGCAGTTGAAGCAGTAGCTACCGCTTTAGCAGCCGAAGCTGACGATTTCAGCAAATCAAATGCCGATTGCAACATTGGGTCCTGGTTCGCGACGTATTTTCTCTTTTTCGGAAGTGGAGATTTGAATTCCGATTTTGATGAATTCTTTGCATTATCGGTTGTTTGGTCCGATTCAGTGCTCGCGGTGGAACGGGGTTGTTTATCTTGTGACTGATCATGATCTTCACCTATGTGGTCATTTTCCTCATTTTCAGATCTTGGCCTTCCTGCTAACAAAATAAAATAATTATAATATATTTGTTACAGATGTATACATCGCATCAAGAATGGGAGGAAATTAGTTCCGAGTTTCAAAACTGTTGTTGTGTTGTTAAAAAAAAACACGTGGTTGGTGCAATGGACGGGAAACACATTATGTTGCAGGCACCTTTCAATAGTGGATCGGAGTTTTATAATTATAAACAATTTTTTAGTATTGTGATATTCGCTTTAGTTGATGCTTCATATACATTTATATTTGTCGATGTAGGGTGTCAAGGGAGAATTTCCGATGGAGGTGCATTTAATGATTATATTCTCAAGGAAAAAATTTCAAACAACTCATTAAATCTTCCATCTCCGAAACTATTAGAAGGAACGAATAACATTATACCATACTATTTTGTAGCAGACTGTGCATTCCCGTTAGGTATCCATATTATGAAGCCATATCCAGGTGTACATCCTAAACGATCATTAAAATTTTTTTTAATTGTCGATTATTAAGAGCTCGACGAGTGGTTGAAAATACTTTTGGCATTTCAGCTAGTGTTTCTAGAGTACTACGAAAGCTAATGCTACTCCAACCTGAAACGGCACAACTGATTGTGATGACAATATGTCATATTCACAACGTTTTAATAAAAAATACAAATTCTGCTAAAATTTATACACCATTCGCAAATAACGATATAACTTCATTATTGCCTATCACGAATACTCCACGCAGATCTTCTTTGTCGGCCCAAACCAACAAAATACAACTTGGGAATTTCAAGAAATGAGCCTACTCTTTTTTTAAATCTGGCAATGCGTATACCCCTAGTGTTGTGGTCCTTCATGGGCGGCGGTAGTCACTATCCATCAGGTGAGCCGCATGCTCGTTTCCACGCCCACTCTTCTTTTAAAAAAATAAATTAAATACCTCTTATACGATTATTGTGTGAACTTGTAGTAGAAATTTGTGAAGAAAGTACATCCGGTATAAGTGATATGGGTTCAATTCCTAATGGTTCAGCATGTAAACCTGTAATAGTAGTGAAAGTATATGAGTAACAGATAAAACTCTCTTGGGCTTGATTTATTCAGCACAGTATATAAACGCACGAGAAATTGGAATAATATTAAATTGATGTCTATTTAAGCTTTACTATTAGTGAGTAGTGACCGCCATTATTGCGTATGCATAGCACATGGATTGTTTCCTTTGCATAAACTTAATATATAAGTGTGCCCTCTAGTTCGATAAAAGGAAGTCTAGTTTACGTGTCTATTCTAAAGATGGCAGCACAAAAAGATATCAATTTGTTCTCAAAATAATGTTCTAAGTTGCATGCCCATGATTTTATTTGACTACGATTCCCGCAGCCAACCGTGCGTACACTTGTGTGCGTGACCCGTGTCAATGGAATAGTTTGATTCTAAACCTATATCAATTTTGTAAACGCGTCCTTAAAAATCTTAACTTAAATACTGCGGCAAAAAGAGCGACACGTCTCTACAGCACCAGGCCTCGGCCGGCAGTGACAGTGTTGCCAGATGCCTTGAACCTTTTATCTATATTAGAAACTCCTAAAATTTGTATTAAATCTGTATGCTATTTAAACTTTAAATCTGTATAATCTAATAAACCAAAATAGAATAATTTATCGTCATCATCGTTACTTCTTTTGAAAAATAAGGAATAACTACTAACATGATAAGCTGATAAGGTTTGAGTATCGTTATTAAATAAAAATATTTTTTATACAATTTTTTATATTAAATAAAATATTTTTTATACACAGTCTACCGATGGTAAGTGGATGCTATGGCCCATAGACATCTACATTTAGATTCAAAATGCAGATGCGTTGTCACGCCTGAGGACTAAGATGGAATGCTTCATTTCCAGTAAAAACGGGTTTCCGGATTTCTACACTATTCTCTGAGAGCGTGGTCCTTCCCCAGTCGAGCTGACTCATTCGTGCTGCAACCACAACATAGCTGCAGCGTGGCTCTACCACGTATAAAATATACACTATACACAAAATTTTTTATATGGCAAAATTGAAAACATTAAGCAAACAACGTACTAAAACTCAAACATTTGCAACAAACGAACATATTATTACTTTATTATTTTCAGTCATACATATTTTATATATACATATTTTATAATACACTTGTAATTCTGCCATACTAACTAACTACGTTGTGAAAAAATAAATTAATCATAAAGATAGAATCATGTAATGATGTGTGTAACATGGTATGTAGTCACTTATTTTGCTTCGTACTTTTTTAAGTTTAATGTTATGGTAATCCAATCGATTGAGTTAGAAAACTCTGTATAAAAATCTGTATCCAGTGCTAATCTGTATCAAACACCGAAAATCTGTATAAATACAGGGAAATCTGTATAAATGGCAACACTGGAGTAGCGCGTCGCCCGTTGCTTTGGTTTCGCTTCCCAGTACCTCACACCTTACCGTGCCGACACCTATTTTTCGTTTTTTTTTTTTATAGATTAGGGTGACAAACGAGCACACAGTCCACCTGATGGTAAGTGGTTGCTGCGGCCCATAGACATCTACATCTATCCTCCATTAAAAATCAAAATGCAGATGCGTTGTCACCCGTGAGGACTGAGATGGAATGCCTCGTTTCCAGTAAAAAGGGTCTCCGGTTCTCTACACTCACCATACGAAATACAGCAGCATTAAGCTACTATTTCACGCTGGTATTTTGTGAGAGCGTGGTCCTTCCCCAGTCGAGCCGACCCATTCGTGCTACAACTATACTACTAATATAACTGCAGCATGGCTCTAACAAAATGCAGATGCAAAATCGTAGGTAAAGTTAGGTATTTAGACAATTCGGCATCGCGTGCGATAATTGTCAGCTGATTTTAGATATTTTAAGTTCCACTGCTGGTTTTATGTTTAAGTATTTTTATGATTTTTATAGCGAAAATATCGTTTTATTTAGCTGTACTAAGATGATGGAGCGTCAATAAAGATAATAAAACGTTGTCAAAAGATGACTTTTTTTCTCACTGGGATCGATTTTCTTTCCATCCTATCATCAAAAGTATCGTCATTACTATCGTCTGCCTTCATTTTCGTAAGCGTTTTACAAACACCCGGTACATATGTTAATGTTAGCGAAGGTTTAGTTGTTAAAAAATACTTACTCCAGTTATGCAGAAAACTTACTTTAAGGAAATATTATATTCTTACCTACTATCTGGTATGATTCTTTTTCTATCTAAGAGTCCGTCTGGGTAAGTATCACTCTCATACCTAATCTTCCCTCTCAAACCAGTACCTGCACTGCGTGTTCCAGTCTGAAGAGTATAGAGAGCCAGGATAATTACGGACTGTAAGTTCGTGTGTTGCTTCAGTTTTATAAAAACTCTGGTTTAAGCATTTATGGATGATTTGTCCACCATAATTCGGTATATAAAACTTACTCCCATTATGAACATGGTGCACCACGTGTGCATGAGTTCGGGACGCCACGTTGTGGGGAAAGGTTAGTACTTCTTATAACCCCAACTCCAATATGATTCTAATAGAAATATTACCATCAAAATTGATATTTATAACCCGACGGGACGGCAGTTCGACACGACCGGAGAGTGATTACTGAGGCCCGGGTGTGAAATATCGCCAACTTCCTGAGTCCGGGTTGCTGCTGAAAATCATCAGCTATTGCGTTAATGACCACTGGACCAACGGGACAATCAATATAATGAAGTGAGGTGGTGGCGTAAAAGAAGCTATTAACCCTTTTTTTTCACATTACATATAGAATGGAATATTGAAAGCTCCAGAAAGTATAACCATCTCGTTCACGCCATACGTTAAATACCCAGACCGGCGACGGACAGCAGCGACAAAGATGCTCACGTCTGGTACTTGAAAACCAACCCTCCTTACAAGCTTGGCGATTAAGGCAAAGCCTCCCAACAGGTAAGAAAAATATTTACAAAGTATTAAAAATTCATGTTCAAACCATGTAGTTATGGAGTAAGAGTATTCACTGTTCCAAATCGTTTCTTGGTTGTCGTAAGCGACGACAGAAGGAAACTGAAACAGGAGAAAGGCAGCAGCACCTCCCTGATAACAGCTAAAGTGATAAAAACTGCTTTTAGCAACCCGCCTGCCAAGCGTGACAACTACGGCAAAATCCTCCCAATAAGGCAATCATTGGCGGAACCTATGTTCAGCATTGGAATTTTATAGATGGTTATGATTGAAAAACGTCATGTTAACAATGACATAACTTATTACTTTTGTTACAAATAACTATCTATTTGTTACTATTGTTTACTATAAAATTATTGAAGACTACTTCACACCATAAGCACGCTCGCAATAACACGTTAGCATTGCATATCCGGCAGCAACTACGGCTTTAAAGCAAATCAATGTTTAAAGCAAAATCCAATCTCGTCCAGATTTATAGTATTATTTAACAGAACTGTTGCTTTAGATTTTTTTATACAATTAACATAATATTAATAATGTATGATCGAATTCCGGTCACGCCGGCCAGTTCAACGGTGGCTAGCCAACTCTGCAGGATAGGATTATAGTGCCCGTTTGTATACGCAAGCACAAATCTATTTCCTCGCTCTCATAGTCTGATGGGATGGAAACCCCACACTTACCGTATTGAAAACTATGTGCTCGTTTATCAGAGTTTCATTCAGCAATTTTCATTAGGCAGTTTTCAAGAAACTTCAACAAATCTTCTCGTTTAGAATTCTTCAATTTTAAAATCAAAAATATGTAACCAGTGCGTGCTGCCAGAGACTTGACTTCACAGTTAGTCATATGCATAATGCTCAAAATCAATGCTGAGGAATAAGATGGGATGCTAATTTAATATTTAATATGGTGTCTGATTCTATATACACGTACGAGCATCCTTTCACAACCCTCCCAGAAATTATAATTATTAATTTCTTGTACACATCTATGTTATGACATGTTAATTCAGCTAATAAAATCACTTGACC